TGATCATTCCAAAATGGATTTGATCTCCCGGTTAGAGATTTCAACCTGTTCACTGGTCTGCGGATGATAGGGTGTGGTAACGCGATGTTGAACCCCATACTTCTTCAGTAAAGTGTCAATGATTCGGTTCACAAAGTGGGTTTCTCCATCGCTGATTAGAACACGCGATACGCCAAAACGAGGGAAAATGATTCTCTGAAGCATTCGTGAAACAACTTTAGAGTCGTTTGTTGGGCTGGCAATCGCTTCGACCCATTTGCTCACATAATCGACGACAACCAATATGTAGAGGTTCCCACAAGAGGAAGGGAACGGGCCCTTAAAATCGATCCCCCAGACATCAAAAGGTTCGACTTCCAGTATGAACTGTTGAGGCATCTCATGACGTCGGGAAATGTTACCGGTGCGCTGGCATGCATCACAAGAAGAAACGAACCGATGAACATCGTTAAATAGAGAGGGCCAGTAGAAACCTGCTTGGAGGATCTTGGAGGCCGTCTTCGAACTAGCGAAATGACCGGCATAGTCTGAATAGTGGCAATGAAAAATCACTCGCTGAACTTCGTCCTCGGGTATACAACGTCTGAACAGTCCGTCTTTGCCGCGCTTGAATAAGAAAGGCTCGTCCCAGAAAAAATCACGAACGTCATGGAGAAATTTCTTTCTCCCGTTGTAATTTAACTCAGGAGGAAGGAGACCACTAACCAGGTAATTGACAAAGTCGGCGTACCAAGGTGCTTCGGACTGGACGGATATGGCCATGACTTAACAGAACGATCAGCCAACTGGAGAGCCATTCGAGTGGGTTTTAGTTCACCCACGTTCAACTTCTTAAAGATGGAGAGTGGAAGAAGACTGACACTGGAACCTAAATCACACAAAGCACTATCGATGTAGACGTTACCTAGCGTACAAGGGATTGAAAAACTACCTGGGTCGGAGCGCTTGGGTGGTAACTCGTGTTGTATCAACGCACTACACTCTACAGTGAGAGCTACAGTCTCTTTCTCGACGACTCTTTTCTTGGTCAGGATGTCCTTCAAAAACTTGGTATACGAGGGAATCTGTAAAATAGCTTCAGTAAAGGGCATGGTTACCTCGAGTTTCTTTAGCATCTCAGCGAATTTAGCAAATTGGCTGTCTTCGTTATGCTTCCTCAGGCAAGACGGAAACGGTACTGACGGAGGCCTAGGAGGAGGGGGTACGTATTCCGGTTCGGGTATGTCTTCTGGGCTAGCATGATCATTCCAAAATGGATTTGATCTCCCGGTTAGAGATTTCAACCTGTTCACTGGTCTGCGGATGATAGGGTGTGGTAACGCGATGTTGAACCCCATACTTCTTCAGTAAAGTGTCAATGATTCGGTTCACAAAGTGGGTTTCTCCATCGCTGATTAGAACACGCGATACGCCAAAACGAGGGAAAATGATTCTCTGAAGCATTCGTGAAACAACTTTAGAGTCGTTTGTTGGGCTGGCAATCGCTTCGACCCATTTGCTCACATAATCGACGACAACCAATATGTAGAGGTTCCCACAAGAGGAAGGGAATGGGCCCATAAAATCGATCCCCCAGACATCAAAAGGTTCGACTTCCAGGATGAACTGTTGAGGCATCTCATGACGTCGGGAAATGTGACCGGTGCGCTGGCATGCATCACAAGAAGAAACGAACCGATGAACATCGTTAAATAGAGAGGGCCAGTAGAGACCTGCTTGGAGGATCTTGGAGGCCGTCTTCGAACTAGCGAAATGACCGGCATACTCGAGAAAGGTTCATCAGACACACATCAAAGGAGGGCCCATGGACAGAGAAATCATCCATGAACACCTCCATAATGTCCTCGATGACATCCGAGAAGATAGCCATCATGCAACGCTTAAAAGTGCCAGGGGCGTTACAAAGTCCAAAAGGCATACGTCGATAAGCAAATGTACCATATGGGCAGGTAAAAGTAGTCTTTTCCTGATCAGAGGGATGTATAGGGATCTAAAAAAAAACCTGAGTACCCATCGAGGAAGCAGAAGTATGAATGTAGAGCAAGTCGCTCGAGCATCTGATCGATGAATGGTAGTGGAAAATGATCCTTCCTTGTATTGGCATTAAGTTTTCTGTAATCAATGCACATACGCCATCCTGTGACAGTCCTTGTCGGTATTAATTCGTTTCGATCGTTTTTAATGATTGTCATCCCGCATTTCTTTGGTACCACCTGCACAGGACTAACCCAAGAGGTATCGGAGATAGAAAAGATGATACATGCGTCTAGAAGCTTCATAACTTCTTTCTTGACGACCTCTTGAAGCTTTGGGTTGAGGCGACGTTGATGTTCAATGGAAGTTTTCGTCTCATCTTCAAGATGAATCTGATGCATACACAAAGATGGACTGATGCCTTTGATATCACCGATCGTGTATCCTATCACTTTTCTATATTTGCGCAGAGTTGCTAGCAAGAGATCGACTTGGGAGGAATCCAAGTCAGCGTTAATAATAACCGGGTATGTGGATTAGGGACCAAGGTATTCATACTGGAGTCCTTTCGGAAGAGGTTTCAATTCAAGATCCGGTGCACAGTCTGGATTCCAATCATCGGACCTGGGAGAGGTTATGACTGTAAAGATAGAGCCAGTCAAGGGATCGAAAGACATACCGGGGTCGGTGGAGGCTAGAGGGTTGGTGTGCATGGAAGTTGGACTAGGTAGGGTATCTGAGGTGTGACACGATCGGGTGATGTCTGGAGACGCGATCTGTGGTGTTGAGCAGGGAGAGCGACACGATCGTGTATCGCAACAGACACGATCGGGTGAGATTGCTGAAATTTGTCGGGTGTTGAAGCACCGATGACACGATCGTGTTGACTGAGAGACGCGATCGGGTTGTTTTTCGAAACTATCCGAGGAGTTGACACGCCAATGACACGATCGTGTCTAATTCGAGATTTCCTAGAAATTCATCATGCTCTAAAATGTGTCCGTAGATCAACATCTGGTCTATAGCGGCGTAGATGCTATCCTGCGAAAGAAGATTTAGTGCTAAAGGATCATCACGATGAAATTGGTGTATTACCTTTTCGGCTAGAGGTCCCAGGATATCAATGAAACAAGCAGATTCTGTAGATGACGGTTGCTTGAGGGTTTTGTCTAGAGTGAATTCCACCGTCTCGTCACCAATTTTCATGGTAAGGCGACCTGTTCGAACATGGATAACAGCATCGGCAGTGTTAAGGAAAGGTCAACCTAAAATGATGGGTACTTTAGAATCTTTGTCCATGTCCAGAACCACGAAGTCAACCGGAATGTAGAAATTCCCGACTTTCAAAGGGACATCTTCAAGAATTCCAGCAGGGTGCTTAACAGAACGATCAGCCAACTGGAGAGCCATTCGAGTGGGTTTTAGTTCACCCACGCTCAACTTCTTAAAGATGGAGAGTGGAAGAAGACTGACGCTGGAACCTAAATCACACAAAGCACTATCGATGTAGACGTTACCTAGCGTACAAGGGATTGAAAAACTACCTGGGTCGGAGCGCTTGGGTGGTAACTCGTGTTGTATCAACGCACTACACTCTACAGTGAGAGCTACAGTCTCTTTCTCGACGACTCTTTTCTTGGTCAGGATGTCCTTCAAAAACTTGGTATACGAGGGAATCTGTAAAATAGCTTCAGTAAAGGGCATGGTTACCTCGAGTTTCTTTAGCATCTCAGCGAATTTAGCAAATTGGCTGTCTTCGTTATGCTTCCTCAGGCAAGACGGAAACGGTACTGACGGAGGCCTAGGAGGAGGGGGTACGTATTCCGGTTCGGGTATGTCTTCTGGGCTAGCATGATCATTCCAAAATGGATTTGATCTCCCGGTTAGAGATTTCAACCTGTTCACTGGTCTGCGGATGATAGGGTGTGGTAACGCGATGTTGAACCCCATACTTCTTCAGTAAAGTGTCAATGATTCGGTTCACAAAGTGGGTTTCTCCATCGCTGATTAGAACACGCGATACGCCAAAACGAGGGAAAATGATTCTCTGAAGCATTCGTGAAACAACTTTAGAGTCGTTTGTTGGGCTGGCAATCGCTTCGACCCATTTGCTCACATAATCGACGACAACCAATATGTAGAGGTTCCCACAAGAGGAAGGGAATGGGCCCATAAAATCGATCCCCCAGACATCAAAAGGTTCGACTTCCAGGATGAACTGTTGAGGCATCTCATGACGTCGGGAAATGTGACCGGTGCGCTGGCATGCATCACAAGAAGAAACGAACCGATGAACATCGTTAAATAGAGAGGGCCAGTAGAGACCTGCTTGGAGGATCTTGGAGGCCGTCTTCGAACTAGCGAAATGACCGGCATAGTCTGAAGAGTGGCAATGAAAAATCACTCGCTGAACTTCGTCCTCGGGTATACAACGTCTGAACAGTCCGTCTTTGCCGCGCTTGAATAAGAAAGGCTCGTCCCAGAAAAAATCACGAACTTCATGGAGAAATTTCTTTCTTCCGTTGTAATTTAACTCAGGAGGAAGGAGACCACTAACCAGGTAATTGACAAAGTCGGCGTACCAAGGTGCTTCGGACTGGACAGATATGGCCATGATCTGCTCGTTCCGAAGTGAATCTTCGATCGGGATTGATTCGGGAATCTGTAGTCTCGATAGGTGATCAGCAACACTATTTTTTGTTCCCTTTCGATCTCGGATCTCCAAGTCAAACTCTTGTAAAAGTAGTGTCCAACGGATAAGACGTGGTTTAACATCTTTCTTAGACAGGAGATACCTGAGTGCAGCGTGGTCTGTGTAAACGATCACTTTGGAGCCGATGAGATATGATCGGAATTTCTCGAACGCGAAGACAATGGCAAGCATTTCTTTCTCTGTCGTGGTGTAGTTCGTCTGAGCATCATCCAGAGTTCGGCTTGCGTAATAAATGGCATGGAGTTTCTTATCCTTTCGCTGTCCAAGAACTGCGCCAACGGCATAATCACTGGCGTCACACATGATCTCAAATGGTAGATTGATAACGCAAATCTAGGTATAGAAATAATGCTCAAGTGATAAAAATCTAGATACAGCGAATACCGCAAGGATACGGATCAACTGTAGTACCAGGGTCGAACACAGGGAATAGTTAACTCTAGGAACAAGACTCGACCAAGAATTAGATCAGGAAATAACAGATGAAATATGTGAATAGCAAAAATAAATCTATAAACGAACTAAGTAAATTCAGATAACTAAACCACCGTAGCTTCGGGATAACCTTAACGCGCAGGGATTGTTTCTAAGGATGGAGAATCTACGAATATCGAACTCTAATCGGGGATCTCAAGTTCTAATATCAGATTTGGCTCTCTCAAGTCCTAAATCCACTATCCAATAATTTAACCTATCGATCTCTCAACCTAATAGATTAAAATATCAAATGCATTAACGATCACTATCACAGTTCCTAAACCGATTAACCTATCTCTCAATAGCCTTAATCAATTCATTCAATGAATTCATTCCGAATCTAATCTCAACTCTCGTTGCAAATCAGAATCTAAAATCAATCAATCAACTGGCCAAGAAGATCAAAAGCAATAAACTCAATTCAATTAAACCGAAGAGTATCGATAACGTAGTCTCGGAAAATAAAAACCAAACAAACCCCTA